TGTTTTCGATTTTTTTTAAACTCGGAGTCAATAGTTTGTCTATTTGTGGTTGTTTGATTTTCTTTTCCATATGACCTCTTTTTAAAATCTTCTAAATGATTTAGAGAATATGAGGGACTATAAGAGGAGAGTGTACGATAAAATTAGACAAACAAATTAAAAAGAAACATGGAGAGCTTATGTTAGGTATTCCTCATGTGATAAGTCAATAGTGTGCGTCCAAAACGAGATCGGAATAAAACACCTTGAGACACATTATCCATAAAGAAAATCCCTGCAAAAGTATCCCATATAAGCACATAACCAAAATTTTACTATTTTATTTTGGGGTCAAAAGTAAATCTCAAGGAAACGTATCCCTTTGGTTAATTACATCTTAGAAGATTCCCAAGAATACCCTCGATAATTAGGAGTCTCGCTTATGTTATTGTGATAACTAATGAAAAGAGTATATCCAATGGATATGGTTATCTCAAGTAAGAACACCTCAATGCTTCAGAGCCTATAACGAGCTGTGAGGCAAGAAAGTGAATCTCTCACATCTTAGACGGGTGGCGACTAATTTGCAAATGAGGTCTACAAGATAACCGCGTCATCAAGTAGAATCATCCCGCCGCTTCGAGGCCATACTATGCCATATGGATAGAGAGTGAATCACCGTATCCCAAAAGGACAGCGACCTATCTACAAAATGAGGACTGATAGATGACATCAACGATATGTCAAGAAGAAGGCTAGGCTCAAAAAGGGGTTTACAAATGAAAAGGTAAAAAAGACATAGACTGGAAGAGATAATTGCGTTGGGATTCCATAGATTCATCATCCAAAACTATTAAGACCTTAACTATACCTTGTCGTGAAGGTAGTCTACCCAACCCGACTAAAGACCTTTGTTAGCAGCCCATGTGTTGTGTCTGCTAAATAATCTCGATAGCCCTAAAATCAAAGGAAAAAACTTCTAAGCCCTATGACCCTATAAAGATGGAATAGGTAGGGATGGGAGTTATTCCTACCAAATACATGACAAGAAAGTCTCTAGAAAGGAATAAAAGAGGAGTTCAGCTACAAAGCCAAAACCACTATACACTTCGTCTGGGTCAGGGAGCCTCTAAAACCCTAGTTGCTCTAGCTGACCACTTAGGTAAAAATCTTATTCTTAGCAAGTCAGGTTGAAGAAGCATGAAGGCTCCTCATCAGGACATGCAGAATGATGTAATTGTCAAAGCAAACCCTAATATGGAGGGCTTATTAAGTATGACTTATAATATAGTCATGCAATGCGAAGCCATTTTAAATCCGGCCAAAAGGACATCTAAGAAAGTAAAAGCAGAAAATAAAAAAAGTTCATTTTAAATGAAATGATTTTAATCTTAAATTTTGTTGAGCATAATAGTTTATCATTAGAATTTAATAAAAGGTAATTTTTAATATCCTTAAAGTGCCTAGATTACATATACGAAGAGCATCTCAGACAAACCATAATCATATAAAAGAGTAACCATCAACACTCGCATGAAAATGAACATGCCATATGAATAACTAATGAAACAAGTCAGATGCCACCGGGTCGGCAATATATTCCAGAAAAGGCAGAAAAAGACAGTCAGACCCTGCATTTATATGCTTGATGATAGTTTTATACATCAATGGACTTCGAATTAAGATACAAAACATGGGCAATTTCTTCTGTTTCTTGTCACACCATTCTGCACATCAAACTCCTTAGAACTCATGCTCATAGCTTATTTTCGATACAAACTTATTCTAAGAACTTTAAACAAGTTGATTTGAAAATCTAAATAAAAGAACTCAACCTACAAAGAGAGAATAACACTAATTTATGTACATACAACGTAATGAGTCATGCCTAGCAAGAGAGCTTAGCAGCATCTGCAGAAAATATGGTAGTTGAAATCATTATAGCTCATCCCTTTTAGGCATGGCTCACAACATAAAATCGCCCTAATATACTAATGCACATTCTCAAACTCAGTAAACATACAAAGACAACAAATAAAATGTCTAGCTAGGCACAAACCATCAACTATAGCCGCACATATGAAAATCATAGCTATACCTTATACTATTCTAGCAAACATCTAAAACAAGGTGTCCTACACATGCATCTAAGTGTGTGCAAAAGTGTGGCTAAGGCTTGTGTATGATTTTGACGGGGCTATAGAACCTCACATACAGTCATGCACATACGGTCTAGCCTATAGATGTATTAGTTTTAAAATAGGTTTAAAACAATATACTTAATATTAACTTAAAAATAGACTTTTTATATTTTTAAAATAGTTCTTAGGAAAGAAAGCCTAAGTAGCAGACCTTTGACCTCTTGGAACCTTAGTACATTCACTACTTAATATTAACTTAAAAATAGACTTTTTATATTCTTAAAATAGTTCTTAGGAAAGAAAGTATAAGTAGCACACCTTTGACCTCTTGGAACCTTAGTACATTCACACGCGTACTATTCACGATGTAATGACTCGCATTGCCTATTGAGATATGCTTGCGGTAATGCTTGCTAAGACATTGTGACCATATTGGGTGACTCATCAATTAAAGATGATTTTCCATCAAGGTTGATCAGGCTATAATCATGCAAAGAAAATGCAATTTGTGATCAGTCAAAAACGATACCCAGACGGCTTAGCCCGACATTATTTCTCTAGCAAAGTGTGATCAGCCACATTAAATGCCAGATGATAGTTTGAACGATAAGCATGCTAAGCAAGTATTCATCGTTAGCATATGGTGACATATTCTCATGACGAACATGCAAGGAAACGGATGAAAGCGCGGGCGTCGGGATAGTTTGAACGATAAGCATGCTAAGCAAGTATTCGTCGTTAGCATATGGTGACGAACATGCAAAGAAACGGGTGAAAGCGCGGGCGTCGGCTAGCACTAATAGTAAATATGCAGTTCAATCCCAATAAAAATGAATTGAATAGAGTAAATATGCAGTTCAATCCCAATAAAAATGAATTCAATAGAAATAATTTTATATTTTAAAATCTCTAAGCTACCAAACTCGTACTCATAACGCAAGTATACATATCTCTCAAGTAATAAAGTGCTCTAATGGAGTCCTAAGTATCAATCCCATAGGGAGTTGGAAATTCTTATGATTATATCTTCAATAAATTCTTATAGTCACAATTGGAGCAAGCAAATGCATTTTATTCCGTACATTAGGATGTCATTCCAAAGGCATGATAAAATGCATATTTTATATCTTAAATACAAGCATGTGACAAAGATACATATTGCCATGCTTAATTTGAAAATCTCATGCATTATGCCTCACACCGCATTTGAATATGATAAGCAAATGCACACATGAGAATGAGCCCAATCATGCTTAATGGAGAAACATCTTCCATAAGAGACCATTCCAAGGATCTAGGATTTGATATTGAGGTGTACCAACCTCCTATTACGCACGGTAATAACGAGGCCCACCTCCGGTTTTTTGGCTACAACGTGTTGATTCTTCAAGAAGAAAACCCTTTATAAAATGAAAGGTTCTTCATGGACATATTCTTTACGGCCTAAGGAATGAAATAGCTATGAAGCTCCTTCATTGTCTAGGCTTTAGAGGCTCCACCCTCTCCATAAAAAGGTGGAACCACCAAAGCAACCGTAAGACTGCTACAATCCTGACTATATGGGCAAAGGCTAAGGTTTCTACTAGAAAACTCATGAAATGTGGGAGAAAACAAAAAAAAAACTTCCTTAACATAAGAATTTCTCTAACATCAACCTATTTTAATCCTCTAACATCAACCTAGAAGGCTTTTCTAGAAAGAAATATGGAGTTTTGAAGATTTTCTCGCCACGGCGACATTTGGAGTAGAGGACTCTTTGCTTGCTCCAAGTTCCTCCATCATATGCAAGGTGACTGATCTTCTTTGCCTTTCCTTGAAGAGCTCTAAGAGGACCGAAAAGCTTCCTCTAACTCTTACAAAAAGTTACGAAAAAAAAGAGGTCGACTGGAGAAGAAAGATGAAAAAAAAAGGAGGTCAAATGGAGAGAAAAATGAAGAAGGAGAAGAAAGGATGACTTGCTTCCTTACCAAGTAAATTCCTTTCCTCTAACTCTCTAACTCTCCAAGTTCTCTCAGCTGAAAACCCAAGTAATAATAATGAAAATTCGGATGGCCCCTCAACAAATATGCTAGTTTGGCCATTGGTGGCTTTTTACTTCAAAATGCATATGTGACTCATTTTATAAGAAACCTTTTTATTAGTCCCTTGGGAGGTTGATAACAAATAAAATCTTTTTATTGGACCAAAAACTTCACCCCATGCACAATATTAGCTCAAGTGGCCAAGTTGGAGACCAAAAAAGTCAATATTTTCGGCTAGGAGCAGGAATTTGCACCGGCTGGGCGCGCGATAGGTGCGCCCAGGCTTGTGTGAATGCAGGCCCGTGCAGGGAGGTCTTTTATGGATTTCTAGGACCTCGGGAAGCCACAAATTGATGGAATATGATCTTCAAACATCAGAAAAAAAAATTAATACCAACGGGTGTGCCAATTTTATGGTATGGGTATATTGATCCAAACCCTAATTTTATGCTTAAAACGCGCTTAAGGATTTTATGAATGAGGCATGTCTATTTTCTGCAACAATTTTGTGATAGAGCAGCATTAACATGACAGTGTATATGTTCCCTGTTTTTCTTTTAAGAATTGCATGATGATCGGAAAGGATCAATAAAAGGAATTCATGATTCATCACTTTTTTTTGCATCATGCCAACAATTTTGAGCTCCTCGAAGTATTTCTTTTGCATAAACTCCATACCAGCTCTAGCAGTTTGAAATTCATGTCTAATGAACTACATAATAAATTAAACATTAGAAGATATAAAACTAAACTAAGCATAAATCAAAAAGAAAAATTTAGTGGTAGTTAGGTGTTACTTGAATCTCTTTTTAGACGGTTAACAATAGAGTACTGCTTCCAAAGCTATTCTTTTGTCGCCTCTTCATGTTTCATATTGCTATATAAGTTTACCTTCAACAAACTGCATTTAGTTACCTCTTTCTCCTTCTTTAAGGATAGTTAAAACAACATGATTCATGAGCATATTAGTTCATTTGAAAAACAAAAACCAGTAGGTATCTGGGCAACCTAACACCTACAGCAAAATCAATATTTATCACAAGATTGTGTGAAAATAAAAGTATAAAAGGCAAATCACACTTTAAATTCAGAAATAGAAGTTGGGTCAGTATGAACCTTAATTTTAGAGAAAGATTTACTGTCATCCTGCAATCCCTTCAAAGCAATTTTTACCCGTTATGCATTGAATTAATACAATTTCAAAAGGAAATTTGGTTACTAATGAACCCAATCACAACATAGAAATAATATCATTCAAAGCAACAAAGAACAAGAAGGATCATCATTAAGGAAAAAAATATGTCCACATAAGGTAAGCGTATCAAGTAGATACTAGAATAATCTCTTTCTTAATCCTATAAAATTGAACAGTTGCTTATTGAGTAGAAGAGCAAAAGCGTACCTGCTCATTTTCTGAACTCTTTCATGAATTTGTTAAATAGATTCTACAAGCCGAGAAAAAATATATTAAGTTCATCTTGCCAATTCAGCATAAGCAATCAATAAGTAATAGGATCGAAATATACTAAATTACCACTGCAACATCTTCAGGCTTCTTGTGTGAAAGAATTTCATGGACAAGCACATTCAAAGAAGAAGACGGCTGCAAAAAAATCAGAGCAACTGGTGAGGATAATGCCTGAATAGTTAAATGCTAATAGGTCAAATTTCGGCAATACAACCATTTGACGGGATTCATGATTTAAGTTTTGTTCAGTGCAAAAGCTTTCTCGGTCATCTAATGACTGAGACCTGGCCAAGGAATTTGAGAATGGATCGAAGCTCTTCCTCATGAAAGCTTTTCCAGATATGGCCGGTTTAGCATTCCCACCAAGTTTCCAGGGTCCACCACCACCCATTTATCTCCACTTACTTTTATTAGAAAAAAGTGAATTAAACAAATTTTCACTGATTTTATTACACAAGGAACTAAATTAAGCAGAAGTCATATGGCCGGCGGAGCGCCGTCGGCTGATCTTTAGAGAATTTTTTTCCTGTAGTCTCGGGAAAATCTCGTTGTCAGCGGCGTCGAGTGCCATCCCACCAAGTTTCCAGGGTCCACCACCACCCATTTGTCTCCATTTAAGTTTATTAGGAAAAAGTGAATTAAACAAATTTTCACTGATTTTATAACACAAGGAACTAAATTAATCAGAAGTCATAACAGAGGCATCAGACCGGAAAAACACAGTATTCAAGTAATATTGATTTAGTTTTGAGCTACATGATCTTTAGGGGCTGTCTGACAATGGATTCAGATGTAGGCTAAATTTTGCTAGACGGTCATTTTGAACAAAATAAAACAGTAAATTTCACGGATTTCGGCCGTAAATTTCGGATTTACTAAATCCCATGAATTAATGGATTTACGTGATTTACGGGATTTAGAGGAAGAGCTATTCGTTTTGTTCTACATACTTGCCAATGAGTTTTGCTGGATTTATAGGATTTAGTAAATCTGTTAGCAAACAGTTTTTCGAATTCAAACCAGTGAGGATTAAGAAATCCGGATTTACGGGATTTAATAAATCCTAATAACTTAAATGTCATCTTTTCATCTTCATCCATTTTTTAGCTACATGGAGAACATCTTTCAAGTGACTATATCACAAGCAAACGATGAAATCTAGTTATTCAAAAAAAAAAAAAAGAGGTGATTTACATGCATGCCACTCAATTCTTTTGTATTCAAATATCTAACACCTAAATTTTAATTTACATATATGTCACTTTACCTAGGCACGAAAAGGTGTGTTTCACCTTTTAAAAGTTAAACTAGTGGTGTCTATAATTTGATATAGAAAATTTGGGAGGTATAAATATATAGATGGAAGTTTAGGTCTTAGATAATATAAATACACAAGATTTGGGTGGTACGTATGTACATGCCCCCAAAAAATAATCAAATTGTAAAACAATTGTATATACTTAAGAGAGCAGCAAGCAGACCTGCTCTAAATTTGACACTTCAAATCTGGGTACACCAATTTTCATGGATAGTAACAAGTTCCCCACATTTTCCAAGTACTAGTAAGCTAACAAGGCGGCACCATGCGAAAGAAACACTGAATCTCCTGAACTCGCAACATTCTATAAAAAGAGGTGCAACAGATTTCAGATTTTAAGAAACTACAATAACACTCAAACAAAATTATCTAGAAGAATATGAAATCTAAGAAAATGAACTCAGAATTAAATAAAAGAAATGACAGATATTTGTAGGATAATGACATTGCAAAAGATCAAACAACTTCTCAACCCAAGCCTGAATTCCTCTTCTGAAGGCTCTTCTGGAAAATCCTTGGCTCTTATTTTTCTAAGCCACCTGGCTGCCTCATATTGTCTAGCAGCTGAACTTATTATTTAAGAAAAGTCTAAGAATAATGCCTATCATAAAATTAATTATCGGGGGATAATATACTCGTGGTAAAATTCTTATATGTATGTAGATATCTAACTTCTAAATCATTGTATCTATTTTCATGCCAGTTTAGCAACTAAATCACATCAAAGCCTATGCATGAAAATGTGCTTTTCTTCAAGTTAATATTAGTGGTATTTTATAAGTAATTTAGATTTTTTTATTGCGATTTAAATAATCATGTAGATTTTGCTATTAGATTAGTAAATACATAAAACTTTTATGGAAACCCTATCAACAATAAATAAAGACGATAATCTCTACAAAGAGTTATTTTTAGCATATGTGTCTGGCTTCTGAATTAGACTAGCCAAAAAAAGCCCTTTATTTGAGATGTTTTCAATCTATGCTGGTTTGGCTTTTGTTATGACTAGTTCCAAGAATGAATAAAACTATTTGTTTGAATTTTTTTTGATAATTTTCAAATAAATGTGAGTTATTTTTACTCTCACAGTGAATGTCTAAAAGCACTTGTAATATGTAAAGTAGTTGGACTCACCTATTAATCTAGTTACCTTTTGGAATGGAATACAATTGATAATTTGTGTATATGATCCGACTTTGATCCTTTTTAATTATGATTCCTTAATTAATAGCAGTAAAATGAAAAGTTTAACTAGAATTAAATGGATCATGAAGTTTATGGTTCACATGGGTTTGGTTGGTATATATCATGGTTAAGCAAAAGTTAATGACTTCACATCATTGAGAGAGCTTTGGTGCATGACACTCCATGTTGAGAAATTTTTAATCTGTGAGGAAGCAATAACCGATGTGACTAGCTCTTACATAATGAGAGATTATTATGATGAGGAAAATTTTGTTCAATCTCACAAAATATAGTTAAAATGAATGCTTGATAAAAACACAATGCTAAAAAATTTGAGATAGAATCATCTCTAAAATATAAAATGGTGTATATGCCTATATAAAATAGACTTTGGGATGAAAATTCTAGTTTGACATCATTATTTAACAACATGGTCACATATATAGGGAAACCGGTCCCTCCTAATTCACAAACTTACCAAGTATATCTACTATAAATATGAAAAGGAAATAATTTTGAAATAAACAAAAGAAGAGCATAAATAGGAAGAGAATAAAGCTATACAATGAGTTTCCAAAATTGTCTCCAATATAATCTTCATTATTTTTGAGATGGTTGATCGACCCACCTTGGAATAAAAGCCTCAAAGATTTCTAAACTCCCTTTAAGCTGGGTCACAGATGATGTAAAAACCAGGTTGTTATTAAACTCTGAGGAAATTCTTAAAAGAAGACCTTTGGTAATAACATCAACAACTTGTTGGTGTGTCGAGATGTAGCTTAACTGTAAAATACCACCATTAACCTTTTAAGAGATAAAGTGCTCGTTAATTTCAATAAAATTGGTCATGTCACGATGCGCATGATTATTATAAATAATAATAGCTACTTTACTATCAAAATTTTTTTGTATATGTATGGTGGAAGAATTTTTATGTTTATCATGTGTTGACATATTCACCACAAAAATTTTTAAAAAGATATCCATCTAAATAACTAGATGTATCATCTGAAGAATAATATACGACCTCAAGAGGTAGAAATACTCCTTAAAATGGATCAAATTATTCAGATGAGAAAGATCTTTAAGTTTTATAGGTCTGTGTTAACCAAATATTTTTCCCATCTTATGGGCGTAATATAAATTTATTTTATTATAGGGTCAAGTATCCTTACAAGGTGAAACCATCATAGTTAATTACATCCTAGAAATTATGGACTTCTGAGAAAACTCTCGATTAAAGTATTAACTCATATTATGAAGGATTTCAAGGCTGGTACCTAGGTCATAAGGTTGGTTTAGTGATTTAAAGTAGGTTTTGGGGACAATTTGGGCTAAAGTATAAATTTTCAATTTTTACATTTTTACCCCTTAGTTTTTAATTTTCATTTTAAAATTTTTAAAGGAGGAAACTAACATTTTAGGGATCAATTTTATCATTTAAAATTTTCCCGTTAATCTCCATTTTTATGTTCCATTTTCTAATTTTTTAATATATTTTTTTAAAATAATTATAAATTTTGTAGGGAATTGGTCATTTCAATTTTAGAGAAGGCCCTTGACCTTAGAAAAATCAGGAAATATTCCCAAGGGTGGGATGAACAATTGCTGTCATTTTCATTTTTTTATGTTTATTTTTTATTTTTTAATAATTAAATATTCTATTTAATTAATTAAAAATTAAATATACATTAATTATTTACAGTTTGTTTTTCATTATTTTCCACTTTGTTCACCGAGTTCATAGATATTTTTATTTTATTTTTGTGATTTTTTTACACTAAGTTATGAATTATTAAAGTTTGGTTTAATTTTCTAGATTTAAATGAATCATAAAACCCAAATTATCTACTTAAACATATGGCAGCCCGACTCGACCCGCAATTATGCAGTTATTTAGTTTTCGAAAGATGGTAAGAAACTTAACCCGATATATCTTAGTGGCTAGTCCACAAAATTATATGCTATATAATTTTAGAATTTGATGTGCACACTAGTGGTACTACACAAGTATACGTATCATTTAAAGTAATATAGAGTTTTCTTTAGAAACTCCAATATCGATCCCACAGAAAAGCAGTAACTTCATATAATGACATATAAAATTCCTACTTAAAACATTAGATATTTATCAAGTAAAAAGAAGTAATTACTACCATTAAGTAAGGTTTAAAAACTAAAATAAAAATGCTAAGTGTTTCTAAGACAACTAAGTGTAGAAGAGTTTCAAATTATGTGAAGAATCTTCTTCCTTGCAATGAGTTTATAATCAGTGTATGAATCAAATGTTTAAATGTTAAAATATAGTTTTGTGCCAAAGAAAAGCATATCTACTCTTTACCCTGTTGTGAGTGCATAAAGAACATTGACTCATCTAAAGTAAGGTTCCAAATTTTCTCAGGTTATGTTGGGAGGTTCCAGCTTCTCACTTCTAGATTACCCACTATGCCCTCTCTATAAGACTAACTGATCCTAAGGTTTTAAACTCTAAACTAAATTGGAAAGAAGCTAGTTTATCACACTAGAAACACCAATTCAACACCCATCAAAACTTATCTCCCTATCTATTTGTACTGCATTATGGACTACTTTTTCTTCACCCAATAATGTAATGTGATTTTATTAGTTTAGGAATACATAGCCCTCCCGGGTCATTATGGATTCACAAAAAAATTTTAACATACAAATTGACCAGATCGAATATGTAAATGAAGCATGAAGTAATGAATCATCACAAGTATGAAATAAGAGAAGCTTTCAACGCTTCTAATCCTACACAAGATTAATTCTCATCACAAGGAGAAAGAAAAGAAAACTACTCAGACTTTATGAGGATAACAAAACAAAACATGATTTATATTAAA